TTGCATTTTGTATCGTAGGCATAAATATGATGGTAGAAGAGGATGTCCCTGGTAATGCATAAACATAAGAAATCACATGTTTGGTATGTGTTGAACTCATCCCTCCAATGATTGCTACAAAATGACACTGAATTAATAGCGTTTTCTTATTATAGGTACAAACTGATTTTTTAATTCCATATTTGCTTGGTCTGTTTGTTACCTTGATTTTATTAGTGGCTGTTATAGTTAGCAATAAGTTGTATACATTTTTCTTTTTTTAGCCATCCTCATTTTAACATAGTCTACTATGGCGTATTTATTTTTTACATAACTCATCGAGTAGATAATTATATTTGATTTGCATAATTTTGATCACTCTGGATAATAGATTTTTGTTTATGGTTGACATCAGTGTTTTAAAATCCCGCCCCACCCCCCGAGTTGACCCGGGTCAACCCTGACCCCTCCCCTCTGAGGGTTGGGGTCACAAGTTGGACCCTATATGCATATCAACCCCTCCGACCCCCAAAACCCGGCCGGGTTTCAGTGACTCCCGGGTCAGAGGGGTCAGAGGGGGTCATTGCATATATTTTTTTTTTTTAAAAAAAAATCCGTGAAACAACATTGTTTTATTAAACAAATAAATAAAAATGCTTGCAAACCTAAATCTAATTGTTCTCTTCTCTCCTAGTGACCTAAATGTTTTCAATCTTCACCTCTCTGTCGTGAATCTTCTAGAAAAGGTAAGAATTTTACCCCTTCAAATGAAATCCTTACGGGTTGTCGATGGAAAACAAAAACTCGTTCTTACTTCCTTTAAATTTTCCTTTGTCAGAGACCTTCTCAAAAGAGGCAAAACCAGGTCAGTGTAGTGACCCCATTAGAATATGAGTTTTGTACTTTGGTATCTTGATACTTTAATTAGGTTGTATAATATTGACTTGTGGTTATAATTGGTGAATTATGTTAAGTATATTTTGAATCTTTGGTGATTGGTGATTTGTTTTTTAATATTTTCATATAGGATATATCAATTTATATTTTTTTAATATATAAAACCGGGTCAGCGTAGTGACTCCCTGACCCCCCGATTGAACCCGTGACCCCTGACATCAGCCAGGTCGATGGCCGGGCCGAGTTTTTAAACACTGGTTGACATTTGCAAAGTTCTGTGTCAATGTTGTAGTTTTTTTCACTTGAAATATAGAACAAGATAACAACATATGTTTTTGTAAAAATAAGGTTTGCAGTGCGATTAACCAACCACGGCGGACGACAAATATTTTGTTATTTTTCCTATCGTACGGGTAATGTTGAGATATTCAAGTGTAATGAGTCCCACATTGGTTGGTAATGAGCTAAGTGAAGAGTATATAAGTGAAAGGACCCATAAACCCAATGTCTTAAGGTTTTGGGTTGAGACATGGTGTCAAATCCACTTGCTACGGTTGGTGTAGCCTTAGCTCATTGGTGGTGGTTCCCCGCCATGGGCTTCCCCTGGACCCGCTTGACATTGGAGTTTGAGGGAACAAATTTTCCAACAGTGGTATCAGAGCCAGATTGGGCTCGAGCTAGCCTAGTGATTGGCTAGGAGGCGGGTCGAGTACTTTGCGCTTCGGGTACTCGGTTGAGGGGGAGCATACCAATGGTGGGTTTCACACTTGAGGGGGAGATTGTTGAGATATTCAAGTGTGATGAGTCCCACATTGGTTGGTAATGAGCTAAGTGAAGAGTATATAAGTGAAAGGACCCATGAACCCAATGCCTTAAGGTTTTGGGTTGAGACATGGTGTCGGATCCACTTGCTACGGTTGGTGTAGCCTTAGCTCATTGGTGGTGGTTCCCCGCCACGGACTTCCCCTGGACCCGCTTGACATTGGAGTTTGAGGGAACAAATTTCTCAACAGGTAATTCACTAGTTTTTGTTATAAAATGAATGGAGAGAAAATAAATAAATGATAATAGAGAAAAATGTGTATCATTTTAAAGGATGTAAAGTTGTGTCGTTTTAAGTGAGAGAAAGAGATAGATTATGAAGGGGAGAGAGTGGACAAAAAAATAAAAGTATGGGTCCCACCTTTTTGTGATAGTGAAATAATATAAGTAGTGTCATTTAAAAGGATAAATATTTTTTCCATAATAATAAAGAGATAAATGAAGTCTTGTGAAAGCATAAAAATATGATCAAAATTCTGAATTCAGTAATCATTAAATTTTTCATAGAAAATCATATTTTTATATAGGACTCTAAACATCAATAGAGGAATAGTTATATCTCAACCCACCATTAGTATTATGTTTACATTATGGGTTTAACGGTTCTACTTTGGGTGCAGAAATTTTTTTTTTTAACATATTCACATAAAAATTAGCGAATCCCATTAATCCTTTATAATAAGACTTATAATACAGATGTGTCAGAAAAAAAATTCTACAGCAAAATCAAAATTACTTTTCCTTTACATTATACATCAAAAGTCATGGGAAATTAAAATATCTTATGTATCATAAGACATATAAAAGATCATCCATATATATATATATATATATATATATATATATATATATATTACATAATTTTTTAGTTTTATTGATATTGTAGTTGAATGACATTCTATGAGGAGAACAAGAAATATCTATATTAATCGTCAATATAATATAATATCGTTGTCAATTGTTCATTTAAAAATAGTTTGTCAAGAGAGGAAAACAGATAAAATAGTCTTAAAGAAAAAGTATTAAAAATAAAGAATCTACATTTTCACAAAATTCTGACAAAGAGGGAAAGTTACCTTGGTATTTTAGTAGAAAGAAAAGAGCAATTAGATTAAAGTTGCTAAGGTCGGTTATACAAACAGACAATAGGGTGGGTACGCGAAGCAGATAAAGCATAAAGTACACACGGCAAAGTTGGTAATAATAGCCACAACCTGCTCCTACTACGCACGTGAAATTTTAATAGTATCTTATTAAAATTCTTAATACGCTTTGATATCTCTTTTAAAAAATATCATATTTAAAAATTGTTTTGTATTAAATATTACAAATTAAGTAATAAAAGTTACAAATTTACAAAATTTATGTGTTTTATTATTTATTTATAATTTTAAAAAAATAATATGGTTCTTCCTTCTTGTAAGAGACTACCGAAGTAGATTCGTGAAATTCTTTTCTTCTTTTTTCAATATTTTTGAGAAGAACAAAAGCAAAGGGAAATTTAGGTGTTGAAATAGGCTATACTTGATTATGAGTTAGGTTAATAACATTAAGGGTTCGCTTTTTCTCCATTGCATATAAGTTGTCTGCAGTAAGCTTAATACGATATTATTTTGAGACGAAAATTATGGTATTTTTTATAATTTTAATTTATTTCAGGGTTACAATAGTCTTTATAATTATAATTTTTTAATCTTTCAATACCAATACGAAGTCAATTTGAAAATAAATGCAGATAACTTATCTACATTAACTACAGAAATATTTTTTTGTAAAATTAAAATAAGAAAACGATTTTGACCTAACCCAATTTGGTTTGATCCAACTCTAGTTAGCCAGCAATGAGTTATGTCAGCTAAAAAATCATGAGTATTGTAAAGATTAAACTTTTCTTCTTATGTTTATCTAAATGTTATTTTAAAACAAAATTTTATCTATTTTAAGTTATCATTGATTTTAAGCTTTTAATAAAAATTAATGGAAGTTTTTAATACAAATTAATTAAAAATATTATTTGAATTTGGCATTTTTAAACTCTAATTATATAAATAAATAAATAAAATGTAAGTTAAATGGCTAGTTCAAATAGCCCTCACTTAGATATGATAAGGATGGATCAATAATATTACCCTTATATTTTTTTCGAAGAGATTATTTTACTGAATAAAAGTAATTAAATAAGTTAAACAAACACAAGAAAAATATTCATTTCACTTTGAAACAAAAAAATTCTATCACGTGAATATAACTCAAGTTGTAAGAAGAGGTTAAGATAAAAGCGAGCCCAAGAACTACTATAAATATTTTTGAGGAAGGAACTAATTATCAAGATTAATAGTTTATTATTATTAAAAATATTATTTTATACATAAAATAAAATTAAAATTTAGAGAGTGATAGCTGCAAATCTTGCCTTTTACCCGCCCCTGCCTCGATGTTATAATGTAATAGAAATCACCTGTTGTTGAAAGACAGACACAGGCTTGACCATGCTTCTCCACCAATAACACCAATAATAGCAAAGGTGACTTTTGAAAAGTACAAACAACCTCCCGTTATGTATGTGTTTGATCCAATTTCAGGTAAATGATACGTTTACAATTTTTTTTTACAAATTACACGACCGGTCATACACTTTTAATTGAAATATGACCGGTCATACTTAGTGTAATTTATAAACAAAAAAATTATAAATATAACATTTCCCCAATTTTAAGCCCAACTTAAAATTCGAGGGCAAGTTTGGTTAATACACCCTTCAAATTAAACTTTAAACACAAAGCATTAATGTATTTAATCTATTATCATGCAAAAATATTAATGTTTTTAATGGAGCTTTTTTATTATTATTTCAAGTATAAATATTTTTGTTGGAAATCCTAAAGGTACAACTGGATGTTGTATCCTAACACAAAGCAAAAGTCCCATGGTTTGGTTTTCTTAGTTTATCTCCTAATACACACAACCCATGGCAACGTATGAAAATAAGTTGGCGAAAATACTTGAAAATTACCTCATCCTTACAAAAAGGGTGGTTGTTTAATTGGTAAATTATTTTTTTCCTCTCATTCACAATCTTTATAAGAAGTTGTAGTAAAAATTAAGATACAGTCCATGGCCATCAAAATAATTGACAAAAGGAACTCCCGTTTTAACTTTCTCAATTGAAAAGAGTTCATTAACACGGAAGAGAATTGTATTTCTTAATAGAAAATATTTTTCGTTCATGGGATATAGTATAATACAATTCTTCATGTCACATAGCTGAAAAGCATCCATTACTTGACTAGTAGCATCTATTGCTAAGCTTTGCAAGTAGCAGATTTATGGCGAGCGTTGCATTTTGGAAAGCATCCCATAATTGTATTAGTAGGAGGAGGTTTGTATGTTGAGAAAAAGTCTGGATCCTGCTCAAGTGATTCAGTATAGTTCTCCAAAGTGGAGACAATTTCATCAAAATGTGGCCTTTTATCAGGATTGCTTGACCAGCATCTGTTGATGAGATTACTAAATGCCCAAGGACATTCAGATGGCAATGGTGGTCTTGCATTCTACACAAAATCAAAAGCCATCAAATTATGAGAAGTGAGTCAATAAAATTTACAAATCCCCCACTTTACATTTCAAATGTGAATCAAGGAGAAAGAACCAATCATAGTTGTATAACCCATAAAAGCTAGCAGAACTAATGTATGAAACATTTCCAAAACATATATGAAGCCATATGGCTGAGTTTCACTGGTCCCATGCTCAGAACACATGCAGCATGTGCAAATACAATGAATGTGATAAGTTAGATTGGAATAAATATATGTTCTTGCATCTGTGATTGATTGGAAGCAATATCAAAAGGGAAAAATAAATAAACAAAGCTTCTCTTTCAATCAGTGTTCAATTGTATGGCACCTTGTTCTGATTTTCTGTGAATGTGACAGAGAAGCAGATGTGGTAGCAGTCATTGATTTTTCGTAAATATATATAATATATACCATATCTTGAATGTTGGAAAAGTAACAATCATCTAGATGTCAGGCAAAATATAGAAATCTCTAATTTTATTGTAATTCAATATTGTTAGCGAGGTGTCTAGCCTAGATAAGTAAGGCTATCTTATAACAAACATAACCACATGCTCCATAGACAACGAATGATTGTTGCCCACTCCGCTCACACGATTGAGAAAGATACGGGGCACATTAACCTTCAAAAGGGCCTACTCATATGCATGCATACAGACATTTAGTAGATAATAAAAATGAACATACAAACATATATGCATACCACGATATATATTAAAACAATTGATTTTGGCTTCATTTAATACTATTGGCCAAAGTAATTCATGGATATACTGGGCTAAAAATATAAAAGGAGAGGGTATGAGGAAAAATAAGTAATATCTACTTTACATAGACAATTATCCATGCCTAGATTTTCCTTTACATGTAAACAAATAACATAATGGCAAACTGCTGAGGTATATACTGTTCCTCTTAACAAAAGGATCCATTCGTAAACTAAGTGATATAAAATTTCTGCTGACTAATTAGCATATTCATACTACAAATCACATGAGCTTTTGTGGTAAATAAGTAGACTAATCATCAGACATATCCATGCAACTGAGCACTTCAATTTCTTCACAAATCGCGATAAGAATGTGTGTCACACAATTAAGTAAATTCAGATGCAAACCTTGTGGGTAACAGCAAATGCTGCCTGCTCTGGTGTCATATTGTCAAATGGTGTCAGTCCTGTTAGAAGCTCCCATAAAACTATGCCAAAACTATAGACATCTACTTTCTTGGTATGATGCTTTTCTTTGATCATTTCAGGTGCCATCCAACGATAAGTTCCGGTAAATCCTTTTGCACTACCACACTGAGATTCTAAGCATGAGATACCAAAATCTGCTACTTTTACACACATATCTTCCCCCAACAGGAGATTCTCTGATTTGAGATCCCTATGAAGTATCCCCTGAGAATGAAGATATTGCATCCCCCGTGCAATGTCCAGGGCTAATTTCAGAACAAGTTCGAGTGGAACCGAATGTGGTTCTTGATGATGCAGGTATTTTCTCAATGAGCCTCCAGCCAAATACTCAGTAATTATACAAAAGACGGGAGGTTTCTTGCAAGCAGCAATAAACTGCATGATCAAGAAATTCATAATTTCTCTATTATTCAGCAGCAGCAGCAAATTTTACACACAAAACATTATCTACTACTTAAATTTTGCAACTCTCAGCATTAACAACTTTTAGCATTTGTGTCTTAGGTCACGATGCCATATTATCAACTTTCAAGAGAAAGAATTAACCAATTCAAACAACTACCACTCATTACTGCTAAAAATCAATACTTGACCAGTAACAACATCCACAAGACACCGGGATATTTGGGAAGAGAGGGATAATGACATGCTAAAGAGAGAGTCAAAATTAAAGATGAATCCCAGCTCTTTTGTTCAGTTTCACACCAATGATATGGAACGATACACAATAGGCATTGGAAGCACCCTGGGCAAATTTAACTTAATGAACTCAAGCTTCTTGCATCACTTTTCCAACTAATCTATTTGGGAACAACAGCAACAAATGTCGTAAATTTAATCCATAACTTTTTTTTTTTTTTTTTTTTGCAGATAATTTTTGATTCTTCCTAGTTCCTTCTCGAAATGTCACAATACCAAGTTAGTATAGCAAGATAATAACGGCAACAATGGGGTAGGAAGTGATAAAAAGGTGGCCTTAACATTGAACCATTAAAAAAATTAAAGGGCGGGGGGGGGTAAAGAAGCTACCATCAAAAAGTGAAGAATATATGATAATTGGAGATTTAGACTAGAGTATCAAAGTTAGTATCTTCCTCATATATAAAAGGTAATAATATATATTCGTTATAACGTTAGCAGGAGAATTATCTCTCATATTCCATGTAAAAAAAAAAAAAAAAACTGAAGGCAGATGCAAAAACAGAACAGATAATTGAAGAAACAAGAACTTACAGTAATGATATTCGGATGGCGCAAACGAAGGAGCAAAGCAACCTCGGAAGTAAATTGCTTCTCAAGAAAAGCAGCCAAGTCCTCATCCTCCTCCGGTTGACTTACAAGCTTAATTGCCACATCCTTTTGCTTGTAGACACCTCTGTAGATTCTGCTGTGTCTTCCAGAAGCAAACTTGGATCCAATGAACAACTGAGACATATCTGCACTCCATTCATCTTCTCCTTCTCCCTTTATAGCAGCCCCAGATGAAACAAGATACTTGGACCATGACACTGCTCGCTTGTACTCCCCAAGCGAAACCCTTCTCCCTGACTTGCCGTTGTTGGAAATTTGTTTAAACCAGTGCAGATTCTTCATATGGGTCACACTTACTTCCTCTCAAAATCATCAAACTTCAACCCTTTCTCAAACCCCAAATGCAGATCCAAAAAATATCCAACTAAATATTAAAACAAATGCACCAATTTTCAGAGTACCCAGATGAAAAAAAAAATAAAAAAAAAAAACTTGATTTTCATAGCTTAAATACTTCGTGAGCTAACTACATTACAAACACTTGTCATTAGTTGGTCCCCCCCACCACCCTTTCTCATAAAATCCTTAAAAAAACAAAGAAGCTGAAGAAAACCAAGACCAAGGAAAAGCTCACAAGCCTTAACGGGTTTTAATCAAAGAGAACAAATTTTTTAACCAAAGAGGTACACTACACCAGAGGCAGCAGACAGAGAGAGAGAGAGAGAGATAAGTTTTGTTGATTTCCAACTTCCAATCAAGTGGCTGCACCAAGATAGAGAGAGAAAAAGTGTGTTATAGTAGGTAGTATAGTAGTTGCTATTGTTGTTGTTGGTGGTGTTGGAGATTGGAGTTTTAGTTTATGGTGGTGAGGAGTGAGTGAAAGACATAGAGAGCTGGCTGTTGGCAACACTAGTCTCTTTACGTTGGAATTCGTAACGTGCGAAGATCCACTTCTGAGGAGACAAACCGGGTCTGCGTGATTATGACCGGTACCTATTTCTTTTCCCATTTTAACCTTCTCTTTCTCCCACATTCTTCACCATTGCCAATTCCCCTTCCTTACTCATTTCCTCCCTAGCAGTTACTTTTACCACAATACCCCTCCTTTTTCTCTTGCCACCTAACTAACCCCAATCCCCTGACACCATGTGGTGGTTTCTAGTTGTGGCTTGTGAGAGTAAATGTAATATAAATATAGCTTTGTCGCATAGGAAAATTTATATATATATATATATATATATATATATATATATATATATATATATTAATAATTTATACATATTGAATGAAATTTACTCGTTAATCCAATAGTCATTAAGCAAATTAATTTGAATTAGATGACATTTTTCGGGTTCGTTTTTTCTGCAGTTACTGCAGATAAGTTATCTTGCCAATACGACGTTGTTTTGGAACAGAAATTATGGTGTTTTTGTAATTTTAATTTATTTTAAGGTTATAATCGTCTTTATATTTATAATTTTTTAAGATTTAAATACCAAAATGACGTCGTTTTGGAAATAAATGCAGATAACTTCTCTGCATTAACTGCGAAAACATTTTTTCCGTAAATAAAATAGAAAAAAATGTCTACTTTTGTTGGTAAAATTTTATCTGTCACATTTACAAAAAATAAGTGAATTCCACTAATTTTGTTTTCTCTTTTCTTTATAATAGAATTCACCCATTTTTATGTAAATATGATAGATAATTTTTTCTGCAACAGAAACATTAAATTCAAATAAAATTATAGATTGTATGTGTAGTTTTAGTTTGTCTAGTTTTATTTTTTTTGTTTATGGTAAATATTTCCCTCGTTTCATTTAATCTTTAACTTTGGAATAATATATAGTTACTGAGATCATTAATATAAAATTATTCTTAAAAAGCTGTTTTGAAGCCATGATTTGGGCATGGGATTGTGCTGGAGTTACGGCAATGAAAAAGGGACCACATCGATGAGACAGAGCAATAACTGGTTGGGCCCCAAGTAGGGGTAGGTTGGTCAGTTTAAGGAACATGGAAAGGAAAAAATGTTTGGTTAGGCAGACCAGTTCACAAGAAATGGAACTATAAAACACAGCAACAGAAAACACATCGGAGAGAAGAGGAAAGAGGGGAGTGTGGGACCCGCACGATAGTAGAGAATGTGTGGGGACCACAAGTTGGTAGTACCCGTGGGTGTGTCGGACAAGCCGTATGGTCCTCTTCCGTATACGGTCTCTGACCACCCTTTACGCATTTCTATGAACCCTTCGATTATTTTAAAAGTAAATGTTGCATGCATCCATCTTTTTCTCATTCAATTTTATCCCTTTTTTCTCACTCTTTAAATTATAAGTAGATGGTCCTTCAAAATCAAGGACTATTGATTATCTAAATTTAATATATTAATCGTGAAAATAATTTATTTATTTTAATTTCAAGAATTCAAAATTCATTACGTAAGTAGATTTTAAGTCCAAGATACTTCACAAACAAAATATTTTGATAATAGTTTGTGATTCGTGATCACGAAAATTATAATATCATAATAAGCAATCACCTCTTTCAATAACTTAAGTCAATAAATAAAGGTCCAATTAATAATTTTTATATTTTTTTTTAACCTAATCATTACAATATTAACATAGGATAATAACCAATCATTAAATATATCATCCATTCGGTATAGATGTACATCCTATTATCTCAGCAAAGCTTCCACGTCACCAAGACATACAATCCTTGTTGCATTTGGGAATATCGGGTGAAATTGAATAATGATATGATAAAAATAATAATAATATTTTTGGATTATATTTTTAATTATCATATAGGATTTTATTATTAAGAATTAAATAATAAGGATATTTTTGAAATTCAAGAAATTAAGAGAAACACATTATAATTACACATGGTCTAAGTAATGACCTGGAAATACGTGAAAATCAAATTATACATGTTATAATCACAAGAAATGAAAGTGAAGTTTTATTAAAATATTTAATATTTTTTTCTTTAAGTAATTAAGATAGTTTAAACAATGTTCCTAGAGCAGCAATGAACAAGGTATTTTTTCATATTTTTTAAATGAATTTTGAACATTCACTTATTACCCAACGAGGTTAAATAACAAAATTAAAATGGGAATTTTTACAAGTTATTTTTTTATCCACAATTAACATTAAATATCTTTTGAAATAAATATTAAATATGATAATTTTGGGTTAATTTGTTTATAAATACTCATTAAGAATATAAATATCGTGATTATGGTTTGGTTAATATTACAGTGAGTTTAATTTAGAAAACATGCTATCTTGTATTAAAATTTTATATATTTATAGCCTCCTTTACATTATATTTTTTTGGAGAACCCAACCCTAATTACCTCACCTTTTCATTATATAATCTGCTGCATCTGCATGTAAGCAAAACTTTTAGTATGTAAATGGGGGTTCTAAATTTTAATTTTGAGATTTAAGTTCCTTAAATTTGGAAAAATATTTCAGAAGTCATTTACATATTCTTTTTTGTTGGTCAATTCGTATAAAATGGAAGGTAATGCATTGGCACAGATGGGAAATGCTCTTGAGTCCGACACTTGATTCGGCACCGATCGAAATGAGTGCAGTGTAATCACGGAAATCTTCTTCACACGGAAAATTTATCGTATGCCTGTTTAAATAAATTAAACCTGATGTGTGATAAAAGGAAAAAGAAAAAAACTTGACAAATATATTGAATGAATAATGATATTTATACATTATTTTTATTACATTATTTTTTCAGTCAAATTACCAGTGTTTAAAAACTCGGCTCGGCCATCGATCCGGCTGAGGTCAGGGGTCACGGGTTCAACCGGGGGGTCACTTTAACCCGGCCAGGTTTTGGGAGTCACTGAAATCTAACCGGATTTTGGGAGTCGGAGGGATCGATGTGCATATAGGGTCCAACTTGTGACCCCAACCCTCAAAAGAGGGGGTCAGGATTGACCCGGATCAACCCGAGGAGTGGGGTGTGATTTTAAAACACTGCAAATTACATTATTTTTTCAGTCACGCGCCTGTTTTTAGATAATAAAATAAATATATACATACTGTCTCTATAATATTTAAGGAGATGATCAACTGTTTACCGAAAAAAAAAAAGGGAGAGGAGATGATCCACTTACAATATTATAAGTTTAATAAGGTATAAATCCATTAATAGTTATTAACTTCACTTAATATTAACAAAATTAATAAATTAGAACATTAAATATAAGTGAAAATAACATCTAATGAGTAAGACTATACTCGTATAAGTCGATTCCCTCCAAATTAAGTAAAGTGCAAAAGTGGTGTTAATATTTTGATATAGATATAATTTTCTATAATAAAAAGTCTGTACGTAAATAACAGTATTAATGGTGCAATTATTCAGTTTGTTTTGCTCAACTCCACAGTTTTATTTTTATCATCTTTAAGTAACAGAGGCCACGTCTTTTGGCAAATTACATGGCCAAATATGGAACGTAGCAGAAAGGCAGCAACAAACATACCCAGCTATATGCAAGGAGTGGTTGTGGGTTTATTGAATTTCTTAATTTTATCTTTCTTTCACTAAAAAGTATACAAAAATATTCTGTTCATGAAGAACACAGGAGAAGTGGGAACTACCAATACGTGTGGTATTATCATTATGAATACGAAGTGGAATCTTGAAACCTTATTTCATGAAATTAAATTAAAATAATCCAGAGTAACCAATGGAAGCCAATACGATTATACGAGTATTCATCATTTGATCTGATATCAACACCTAAAAAAAATATAATCCGATTTGGTGAGAAATTTAATCAATAATCACAAAAAAAATGTTTTAGGTAACAACTAATCATTTCTTAAGCGTCTATTAATTTATTGGAATCAACCACACACGGTTAATTGATATATATATATATATATATATATATATATATGAAATTTATATTTCTGCAGCTGTTGTACGTGTAGCAATTAAATACTTGTCATATATATACTTGAAAGTATTAAATGCGAGAAATCATAATCATACAAAGGATAAAAGCATTAAATATGAAGAATCATAATTATACATTTCTGTCGTTGCCATACGTAAAGTATATATATATATATATATATATCCTATTTTAGTTTTAATTATCTTTTTGGGACATTCCCATAAATAAGATGAAAAAAATCAGCATAAATATAAAATTTATCTCAAATTAAGATCGCGTGACAATTATCGGACATGGTAATTAATATATTCTTAATTTCGTTCTCTTTCCGCCGAAGAAAAAAAAAACTCTTTCCTCCCAAAAAAAAAAAAAAACTCTTTAATTAATAATTATTATGGCAGCACATGCGCTAATAAGACGCAATATGAGTAAAAGTTGC